ATTGGACAGCTACCACCCACCCAAGCTAGACAAGCCTCACCCCAATGAGGTATTGTCCCGTCTGTGTTCCGCTTGTTTCAGTGGGTGCATCAGGCTAAGTGCCGAACAACACACTTAACCGAAACCCGAAGACCTTGCGTGACAGGTCTCTAGAAGCTCCCACACGGTGTGTTGTTCACGTTCCTGCGTTGAATTTACGCCCCATTGCATTGTGGGTCAGACTTTTGAGTTGAAGGCTTCGGTTAAGGTTCCCAAAGCAAAATTCCTTCCTTGATGTGGGCGGCCGCGAAGTATACCGTACCCTAAAGTCTTAGGCACTCATGTGGAAAATCATCTTTCCCATTTGTTCTAAGTAAACTATTGTGCTCAAACCAGGACCGGACAAAAGACTATGAAAATCCTGATCAGTAGACTTGATCACATAGGTCACGTTAGGCCTCCTGGATGGGACTTCTGAATCCGGCTAACCGGTGGTTAGAAACATAGCAATGTGGCTCAGTGTCGTAAACAATGGCACTAGTGCATGTACTCAATGATTTTGCGTTCTTTGTCTTTAGTTCTTTGTTTTATCATTGATTCTGATTTTTACACCGCACTCTTCTCTCTGTCTCTTCATTTTAATGGGCAGCCAAAAGACAGCACCCGAAACCGCCGCACACATTTGCATGGTCAATAGTCGTTTGAACTGAAATTGAAAACTCCAATTACTTTCTTCGCCGTCGTTGATTCTGACAGTTTAGAACAGCTCTCATCTGGTGCAAATGATATTTGTGTTCGCGAAAACATGTTAGTCCACACTGTAGTGTGGTACACAGCAACAAGTGCATAATTCCTATAACCTATTGCGCTGCTTAGCTAATTGGTAGTCTGAACCCTGGGTTGATGAGCTCTTAATTACTACTCCCACAGGGCAATAAGTACATCAACAGTAAAGCACTAAAATACCAACTACTGATAGTCGATTTAGAACTTAGAATTGCTTGCTCTGTTAACACACGCGCATTCGATCCTCGTTTCAATCGTCTCTCTCACACATGATATGCTTGCTTATCGAGTGCGACATCAATTGTCTTTTAGATTGCCGTATTCGTCTATTACGCTGTACTGCATGCACGCGATAATGATCCGTTCAACGATGTGACCGCTTCCACCGGTGTGCCAATCAATAGCCCCCTGATTTACGATCCGAGAAAACGTCACGAGGCTTGGCGTTTCCTCACCTATATGTTTATACATAACGGTTACGTCCATTTAGCTTTCAATTGTCTCCTACAACTGGTCCTTGGCACGCTTCTAGAGTTGGTGCACAAATTTTGGCGATGCGGTTTGGTTTACCTTCTTGGAGTGATTGCAGGTACGTGAAACTTTGCCCTAAGATGTTCCACAGTGTGGTGGTGGTGATGTATCTAAGTTGCTTTTCCTTTTTCGTCATTGTACGAAAACGCGGCTTGGTGCAAAATGTTACACTCGTCTTGGTTGACCATTCTGTGTTGACATGGGGGTGTCGATGGGATCTCAGAAATCATAATTTTTTACTTGCACTTGCATTGGTTAAGTGATCAAGGTCACCAACATTATTGCTTAGAGGTCGTTTGTTCAAATCCTACAACTACCGCATTGGATTGCCCACTTCCTTCTTCAAGGCAAGTTGTTTATGTTTATATATATTCAATTAAAGCAAAGAGAAAAAAGAAGTACCGAATAATGGTTCAAATCCGATTGCCAAGGTCACTTCCTGTTATGAAAACTGGCACACTAGGTCCTAAAATTTGAGATTATAAGCCGTGATACGATAGGCGTGTTACTGCACGGATCAGCCGAAGAAATACCTGCTGCTTAAGTTGTATATATATATATATATATATTCACACACGTCTGAATCCAGACTATGTGCCAAATAAATCATGGCACAATAATCTTTATGGGAAAGAAGATGGTTCCATGATTTGCATGTGGACAGAATACTGCCAGGTTGCCCTGGCCAATGCAGGTGAATTTTCTTGAGGAATCCACAACCGGAGCCTTTGGCTAGCCAAAGCCTGAACCGCAAGGCAGCGTGGCGGCGTGTGAAAACCGCAATCAATTGGGGGTTGGTGTCCAGTTCATCGGATCATACGCTCTCCGGACGGGGTTAGATGTCCAAGGTGCCCTCGATGCCCAATCGAGCGGGTGACCACTGCCACAAAGCAGGAAGTTCTGTGTGTGTGTGTGTGTGTGTGTGTGTGTGTGTGTGGTTCGTACGCCTCCTCATGGTTGGTTTGGAATCAGGGCTTTTAGCTAACTCCCCTAGGTGAACTATCAGTGGTCCACCAACCCGATTATGACTCCGGATGTAGGCTTTACATCCTCTCACTTTGGTGGGAAAATATCTCCGTCACGAAAAGCCATTGAGTAGG